ATTCACTCCGGATTAACCACCAATGATACTTGTATAATTGGTAGGTATGTTTACTTAGAAAAAATAGTGAGAAACATGCATTGCGTTTTCAAAATAATCAAACATGATTTGGGTCGACTGAGTTGAGTTCGGATTCGAATGAACATCTATAGCTTTCATTTGAGAAATTACCACGTCTAGCTTTCTAAAGAACCAAGTATCGCTCTCAAGCAATCATAAATAATCTAACATTTACCTGAATATTGAGTTCATCTTTGGCTTCCATCACTTCAGATGCTTTCACAAGTCGCCGTCTTGCTTGGCTTTTCCCAAGAGGAACCGTAGGACTTTTGCACTTCATGATGATGGAAGGAGATGTAAGAATGCTCCTCGTCGAAGTCGAAGTAGAAATCGAGGAATGCTTGTGCTGGAAATCGAAAATGCTTCTGCCCTAACCCGGAGCTCGACCGAAATCGATTTCGACTGATAGTGAATGATGAAGTGTGTGGGAAGGGGAAGCTGGGATTCCGGAAGTTGGATTGTGGAAGCTGGTGGGACCAACAAGCCGTTTCCCGTTTTCGAAATCGGATAGACAGTCGTTTTTAAGTTCATGGTGTCGTTTTATTAAGGGTCCTTATGTAATTACACCATTTCCTAATAATGTAATAGAAGGCCGGGTAGATTCAAAATACTCAACCTTTTTCGGCCCTTTTCGATAAATTCTCCGGCAGAAAAGGCCAGCATTACTCACATCGGAGAGAAAGAAGCATTCTAGAGAAAGCAAAGCAATGGAAAATCAAAGCGACATGAATCCGGAAGCGGAAACCCTAATCAAGACATTCTGCGAGATCACTTCTGCGACCAGTCCTGAAGCTCTCTTCTACCTCGAAAGCCACAACTTCGACTTGGACTCCGCAGTTTCCACCTACATCGATTCCAACCAATCAATCCCCATGGCCGCCGTCGTTCCCGCAACTGACTCCACTGCGGCTAATGCACAGTCTCCTTCCGACTCTCAGCCCTACTCGCCCTCTCAATCCGATGCCTCCTATCCCTCTCGCTCGCGGACCCCTTCTCCAGGTCGTAGCTCCAGACCTTCCGGCGCTTATAATCTCCGGTCTTCCAAACCGAAGATCGCTTCTGATGCTGGCGGCAGTAGTACTGGCAGGAGAAGTGGCAGAATTCATACTTTCTCTGATCTGAATCGTCAAGGCGCTGAAGGATCCGGGAGCGACTCAGACAATCCTCAGGAGTACTACACGGGTGGAGAAAAAAGGTACTCCGTATTATTGTTGCTTTTTTTTTTATCAAAGTATAATGCTTCTTTCATTGTTTTAAGAAATATATGTTTTGTATTAGCATAGTAGCATTGACGAGTTGGTGATGCTCGATTGCTCGATTAATGGAAGAGTGCAAAAATAGGGATATCCTTTGGAATCGTTGAAAGAAGAATAAACATTACATTTGAATGAAACACTGGGAGATTTGTTGAGTGCAGTGATTTTTAAAATGGACTAATGGAGTACCATTAACTGCTCAGTGGTCAGAGCTTAAATAATGATCAATCTGCATTCTTTGCACGTCAATATTGAAATATCATTTGAATAAACTGTTAGAGATATTTTCAAAATCAAACGCCCCACGAGAGGTTGAATGGGTTTCAGACTATGGTAAATATACAAATTTATAACTTAAAACAAAACTACTACATTTTTCTAAAAGATATATTTTTATATATCAATGCTTGGTCTTACTCTGTAGCTGGAATAACAGCAATCTACACTTGAGCAAGCCCAATAAGCTGATGCATATGATCAATCTGCTCATGAAGTAGTACTTCATAAAATATACATCTGGGAATACATTTTTTGAGGATTCATCTGTGCATACTAAGTTTATATACCTTTTTTTCTATCTTAGTATCTTCTCTCTTTCTCTATCTCTATGTTTGTGATAGAAAGAATAACAAAACATAACTCTCAACTTCTCATTGAACAATTATAGGACCAGTTCTAAATTTTCCAAAAAAGCTACCAAAATAGGACTACATTGTCTCAGAGCCCGACTCTCTGTCCTCCACCACTTCTCAAGTCCCAACAATCATGGTTAATGCCCAGCTCGCCGCCCGAAAAAAGTCCCCACGAGTGACAGGTAGCACGTGGGGATGGTGGCGTGTCCCTGGCAGTAACATACTATGCTAGCATATTCAGTTTCTTTTTTTTTTTTTTGAATATTTAAAAAGTCGTCACTTTTGTCCATGAGCATTATCTTAGTAATATTGAAGGAAAACCCTTATATATTTATAAGTTGTTGGCTCAGTGTTTCGGAGAAAATGCATTCTTTTTCCGTCCATCTTAATTTTTTAATCTGGTATGCTACTCTGAACCCTCAAGTCTTGTAAAATTTCAATAGTTCACTTTGTTAGTTTAATATTTTTGCAGTGGCATGCTTGTCCAAGATCCGTCCAAAATGAATGATGTGGATGCAATATTTGAGCAAGCCAGACAGACTCAACCAGCAGGAAGACCTATTGAAAACCTTTCTCAAAGTTCAAGAAGCTTTGTTGGAACTGCAAGGAGACTCACTGGTGAAATTGTTCCCTCTGCTCCTCAGCGACCAGAAGATGTAATACATACTATTACTTTTTGGAGAAACGGATTCACAGTGGATGATGGACCTCTACGGAGGTTGGATGATCCTGACAATGCACCCTTTTTGGAGGTACTGTCAATTAGTGTACTTTTGGGATTCGAGGGCAAGCATGTCTTTTCGTGATACCTATTAACAGATGGTATTAGAGGCATATGCTGACTATTTTGGATTTTTTCTAATAAATCAACATTCTATTTCAAGAACCACTATACTAGGCTTGGTGTAGCTAACATAATTTTGGATTTGGAATAAATTTATGAGTAGTTGAAAATTAATTCTTTCAATTATTATTTTCTTTTTAGATGATCTAACATCAATGTATACTTTGGATTATGATGCAGAGTATAAGGAATTCCGAGTGCCCTATGGAACTTCAGCCATCTGATAGGAAGGCATCTGTTCAAGTTAATCTCACAAGAAAAGAGGAGAACTGCCCTGTATGTTGTCTGTTCTTATTTACCTAAAGTCTCTTTCGAAAGGATTAAAATGGATAACTCTGAATTTACCCAACCAATTGTTTAGGATTTTTTATTTAAATATTAATCATAACCATAAAAGAAATTGCCCTAAATAGTAGGTAAAATAATGTGATAATCCAAAATAGTACTATGTTTTTACTCCTATATAGAAGCAATTATTGCCATGATGCGTAATAATGCCAAAATATGCCATTATGATTTCAATGTGACCAAAATTTACTCCTATATAGAGAAAAACATGGTACTTCAATTTTGGAATTTCATATTGTCTTTGCTCCTATTTTGGAGATTTCCTAAGTATTATTATGCTAATAGTAAAGCTATAAGTTTCTCTTTTGCATTATGAATTATGATCAATCTATAGTACAGCGACGACTGACGACTGTATTGGCAATGGCTGGTGTTTAGTGAAATTTTGTGTTAAGACAAAAATGGAGTCTACCTTGGCTCTTGGTGCTTGGTGAAAAAGCTAGATGATAAGATTGAGGCTACCATTCAGCCCCTATTTTGTTATCAGCATCACGTTTCACTTATGGTTTTGAGTTCTCTATTTTTAGGTACCAGAGAAGCGGCAGACACCATTTCAGGGTGCAGGAAGAACCCTAGCTAGCACTACCAATGACAATGTACCAGCACAGTCAGGCGTTAAAGCCCCTCCTTTGACCACCGCGCCTGCCCCGATCATGGGACTAACAGTGGACCAAACACAACCCTCCACTTCAATCCAGCTCAGGCTAGCAGATGGGACTCGCATGGTGTCACGGTTCAACATGCACCACACAGTGAGAGAGATTCGAGGGTTCATTGATGCATCAAGGCCCGGCGCAACAAGAAATTATCAACTGCAGACTGTGGGGTTTCCTCCAAAGCAACTCACTGATCTGGACCAGACGATAGAGCAAGCAGGCTTGGCCAATTCAGTCGTCATACAGAGAGTTTAATCAAGATCATTTGTCCTCATTATTATGTTCGTCTTGCTGGCGTATATTCAATTCTCATCTCAAACTCTTTTATGTTCTAAAAGCAACATTCCATATCTGGTCATCTTGAATGTGATGTTAAAAGTGTTTATGTGGGAAATTGGGAATTTCTCTTCTCAAAGACAGGCTATTCCATTTTCTATTGTGGTGAGAAGGATTATTCATGTGAGAAATGAGATGCACAGTTTAAATTAGGATAAAAAGTATAAATTATTTATAAAAATGTCATTGCACTCTTCAGTTCATGACTATTTTTGTTTCACATAGTGCATAATTCTCAAATTTAATGCACTAGATTTATTTCCATTTTTCATTTTAGATCATGTTTTTGTTTAACTTTTGTCTTGACTTTTGATCACAAAAATCATTCTGAAAGACCTAGCAGCCATAGCAAAAATTCTCAAACAATGTTTTTGTTTTTTGTTTTGAGAAGTGTTTTTTATACATGGGAAAGGGGAATTGATTTGATGATTATATGATACGTACTTAATGATGAAAGTAGATGGTGCTTTGAAAGAAATAGATTTTGGAAAAGTTACGAGTAGTAATTAGTGGTTAACAGATTGTGTTAGCAAATTTTTAATAGTGAATTCATTCAGAAGTTTTTACTAGCAAATTAGTTGGTGTATTTTCACTTGTTGAAAACACTAAAATGATCAAATCGTCATTTTTTAACTGAAACACAATTTACGTAACACACAGAAAGGCCATGTGGAACGAAGTACTTTTGGTGCAATATAAAAAGTGAAAAATAATTTATAAGGAAATCTTTCTCTACTTCCCGTTTCTAGTTTTAATGTTTTATACAGAGTAAATTCTTAACTTGAGCTCAAAGACATGGTTGAGAACAGTACTTTTAGCAGCTATACCTTAAATTAAAATGAAAAGCTTGAAAAGTTCAGTGGTTATAAGAAGAGTGAAATGACTCCAACAAGGTACCCCAAACATGACTTTAATGATGAACCATGTTTGGAGGAAGAAAAAGATGGTGGTTCGCTAAAGCAACCCAAGCAAGAGGACAGAATGTTGGGAAACGACGCACAGAACGGCTGATCTAACATTCACAAGTTTCATGTTCATTGTTATGACAAGTTATCGGTGCATTGGGGCTCAACTGATATAATAACATCCCATGCACATCACTAATAGCAGTTGTGGTGGCAAATCCCATAATAGACAGCACACAAGCATCTTTTTTTTTTTTAAATAACCAATTTAAGTTAGCCCACAGCAAGTAAAGGTAAACAAGAGCCTTGGGCTTTTTCAAAAAGCCCTACACTATCTTTCTTTCTTCTTCTCAGCACTGTACAGTTTTACTTCCATAAACGCAACAACAACAATGTTCCTCTCCTCCAGCATTATATGCAACCAATCGGAACCCCCTTCTGCATTTTCTATCATGCGCCTTGATTTGTCATCTCTTTCTTCGTTTACTCTCCGCCTATACATAAAATATTTGATTATCAATCAGAGTAAAAATGGACGATGACATTGCATCATCGCATCACATGGGATGGGATTAATACAAGTTTCTTATTTTTAAAAGAATCCAAATGCAAAATAAGAGTATGACTAAACAAGGCTATAATTACTGTCACTCCACATAAAAATAGAAAACAGATGACTGCATATGACAATTCCATTATTTTTCCAACAGCCAACTATCCCTGCATGACCACATATGTATACACTTTAATATTCATAATTTCAATTTTTGCATAATCTCTTTTTCATGAGAGTAAAATACAGCCAATACATAAATCATTGTGTGCCAAGAACGGCAAACCTTACACATTAGATACAAGTACAGAAGCAGAGGTCAGAGAGTCTGATAATCTGATTCAATTGTCAATTTCAAATATAGAAAATTCCATTTACAGCCTTACAGGATTAAACTACTTTTCTTCAAATCATATATTTTCCCTAAATGTATGACAGATGTAATCTTAGAATGAATGATTAACTACTTTAATTCTCCTCTACGGCTAAATCAATCATACTTTCAATTACACAAAACCCATGTTTCACTACCATCCTCAATAACTTCATTCTTTAAGAATTGTCATTCAGATAACCTGTATTGTTCAACAAGTGGATGGATAATGAAAGATTTATTAGCATCTCCTATGGGCTTGTTTGGTTCAGGAATTTTTTAGGAAAGAAGATTTTTTTGTAATAATTTATTTATGTGTGTTAGTTTTAGATTAGAAATAACTATATGACTTATATAGTTAGATCATGTATTTCTATATAACTTTTTATCTTCCCTTTATTTCCAACCATCTAAATACAGATACTACATATAATAATAAATGTAACTCCTCCCCTTTGTACCCCCCTAACCATACAATCGCTAATGGAGATTTAGGAAGACAAATCTATAATTGTTATTTTCTACATACTTCCTCCGTTCCTTTTTAATTGCAACCGTCAACATTTCACGTTTGCCAATGCACAAGTTTGACCATTAATATTTTTCATTCCTTATTAATAAAAAATTTAAAAAAAATAATATTTTGAAATTTTAGAATGAGAAGAATTTAATAATATTTTTTAAAATTTTAATTTATTATACATCAATTAATAAAATATAATCAAAGTAGAATATGTGAATAGTGCAAAAAGTACAATGTTGCAACTAAAAGAGAACGGAGGTAGTACTTGATAATTGATTTGTATAAATCCTCTTATGTTCACAACTAACCATTATAGCAAAAGATATCAGATTTCATAACCCAAATATATGACCCAATATAAAGACACACTCTAACCTTTGTTGGCTCAGCAGCTGGACGTGCATGAAATGAGTTCAAGGGCCGGTCAGCCTCATCCTGAGCTGAGCAGTCGGAACACAAGAAATGCTCCAATTTTTTGGCTTCATCAATGCTCATACCCATACAAGAGGGATGAAACCTGCAATGTGGTTAACAATGTCTTTAACAAGCAGAAAAAGAGAAGAACGTCTCTACAAATAGGCTGATCATAACTTTACAGTCACGGAACTTGGATGCCACTTAGGTGAAGTGTTCTAAAAGCAGCACTGCAAGAAAATAAATTTATCTTTTCATTTTCTTTATAAAGATAGCATCAATAAATACATATTCCTTTTGAAATTAACAAAATCACTATTTAGCAGAATGGTGATCGAAAAATATCACTAAAATGATGATGATCTTCCATTTGATGCAATGTGAATCTTTACATAGTGATGACAATATGACTCACACACTTGAAAGGAGAGCTTGAAACATTCTCATAATGAACTTCAACAAATAGTCAATCGCACAGTGGGCAATGCAATAGAAATCTATCAGGATGCAGCAGCCTAAACAACTTATTTCAGTAAGTAGGAAGTAATTATCATACCAATCCTTGCATCCTTCACACTGTACCATGAGATCATCAGGGTTATAGGGCATCTCACACTTGCAATACCTTCAGAACAAATGAAGAAATAAATAAGAAAATAAATGATTTAAATTTTTATAAAGGGAATATGGAAATAAAAGAGAATAAATATTATAGTATTAATAAAAATAAATAAATAAATAAATAAATAAATAAATAAGATTCTAGCAGTTGAGCTGAAGAACTCACACAGCAACACGGTCAGGAGTGAACCCTCCAGTAGAGGCTTTGTACTCAAACCTAGAGAAGTAATCCTCTTGGCCCACATTCTCTAGCTTAGTATAGTTCTTGAAAGTATGCACGATGCATTTCCCTTCAATTGTGTGTGCACTCTGTGTATCATAATGATCTGACAGAAACAGTTCCTTCGCCCCATGGAACTGTCTGCGCCCACCCACTGACTCCTCAGGGCGGTAGTACCACCTTACACGCACCTTCACACTGTTTCGGTGGTCAGCTTCTATCTTCTCAACTCTTGCAACATATGGTGGTTTATCAGTATCTGATGGTCTCATTAGTACACAATCCCCGGCTGAAAATTGAAATGGCATGTTTTAAAAATTACCATTTCTCTACAAAAAGGGAAAAAACTAACCAATGCAGTAACATTCAGCTACAAGTGGAACATACTAAAAAAAGTGCCACGATAGGTCTATGCAATTTTCGACGCGATTTTCACTATAGGTCATCCGGAAACAGTTTCTCTGTACTTTAGTATGGGTAAGGCTGCGTACATCCGACCCCCCTTACCCCACCATAGGTGGGAGCCTTTGCGGCACTGGGTAATGAAGAAGAAGAAGATATGGTATGGTGGTTTATCAGTATCTGCTAGTCTCATTAGTACACAAACCCCAGCTGAAAATTAAAATGTACGATGTATCTTTTAAAAACATACCAATGCTGTACCAGTAGGGAAAAAACTAACCAAAGCTCTAATATTAGTGAAAAGCGGATTACATTAAAATTAAAGTAATATTGAAATGCCATATATTACATTCTATACATAGAGCAATCGATGATACTTTCATGATTAATGCTTTCCAGAAACGTAGAATAACTTATCAACCTAATGTAAATGAATCATCTTTTTGATTTAGTCCCTATGATGTGCAGATAATACTCCGTATAATCTTATATGCATATATCAAGAGCAAGCTTTAAAAAAAAGTCCCCTTTTCAACACAGAACCAGGTAGAATTTTCGTAGATGAGGATTTGCATATGCCCCAATACAAACCAAAGTGCTCTCTTTAAGATAAAAAATCATAACCGAGAAGATAAGCTTAACTCGATTACAAGATATAAAGAGCCAGTCAGAGAGAGATAGAAAATAGCATCACGATTCATTACGTCTGACGATCTTGTTGGTGCCTTTGATGGTGTAAGAATCAAGGTCCTTCTTCCCAGGTTTGGTCTTGGCCATCACTGCTCCTCTCACGGGTACAGAGACTGTGCTAGAATTTAAAGAGCAAAGAAGCTGAGCTGATATGTGATTAGTACATTTAAGCAAAGATGAGCAGAAACCCTAGCTGCTGGAAAATGAGACAACATTTACACAACCTGAAGAGATTAAAAAAAATAAAAACTCACTATTAGCAATTACGCATCAACCAGCGACCAGGCGACTCCTAGTCTCCTCGATTTTTACAGACGCTGTTTTTACTGCGGCTGTATTTCACCATGCCTAAAATTCTTAGTATACATATAACTCGTAAGCAAATTATACATAAACTCATCTAGTTGCTCGTGTATATTAGCAGATGGTTTGAAAAGGTGCATGATTTAATACCAAATCCCTCTTAATTGTCTGTGTAGACAATGTACAATTTGTGTACCACATTTTGTGTGTATCAAGAATTGTCCTTACCATGTACCCGCACATATAGCTGAAGTGGTAAAGCAATTTGAACGACGAAAGATCGAAATCCGCAGCGACATGTAAAAGTTATGTGTGTTGGACTGACTCCGGTGGACATGAGTATAAGGTATATCATCTTTCAGATTGATTGACTCAACATGATTTATAATATCATATGTTATGTCGGGTCGGGGTTTTGGATCTTTGAATCGTGATTCAACCTCTTTGGATAATATTTTACTGTGGTTGTCTATGCGACAAATTTTTCTTACATATAGCTCCACATAGCATTATTATGATTTGTAGGTTCTCAATTTATTTGACCTCATTTTTACAAGCATTTGTAGTCCATTTTTTATTGAGTTTCTAGATTATATATATGGTTGAGTCCATTAATTTGTCTCTATTTCTCTCATTCCCATATTATCTTTGTTTTTTGGGATAAGAGTCAGATAGGGCCTCGAACTTACAAAAAATGTCAAATAAGGTCATATATAGGATGCTTTGTACGGCCGATGGCATTTGGGGTGGTTCCTGGTGAATTTTTTTGATGAATTTTTTTGAGCATCTTATTCATCAAGTCTAGTTTACTCATATCAAATTTCAACTAAAAGTTCAATCGGGAAGGCATTCAAATAAATTCTTGAAAATAACTGGTCAATTAAAACCACAGTTATCTTCAAGAATTTATTTGAATGCCTTCCCGATTGAATTTTTAGTTCAAATTTGATATGAGTAAACTAGACTTAATGAGTAAGATGCTCAAAAAAATTCATCAAAAAAAATCACCGGGAACCACCCCAAATGGCATCGGCCGTAGAGAGCATCCTATATATGACCTTATTTGACATTTTTTTGTAAGTTTGAGGCTCTATCTGACCCTTATCCCTTGTTTTTTTTTTATCAAAGTTAGGGAAATAAAAAAAACAAGATAGAACAAAATCATTATAATGAATGTCTGTGTTTCGTCCAAATAGGGGTATTTGAGCTTACATACAATTAAAATTTCATTAGTATATTTTAATTAATGTAATGATTGTAGGAGTAGTACCTCTAAAGTGGGTCACTGAAACATATTTGATTACGAGCATGTTTGGCAGACATAAATCCATGCCTTCTAGCTTTTGTACTGTTTAAAAAGTCTCTAAAAGCTTCTAATTGTATGTTTGGCACGACAACTTTTAAGAGTTTTTCAAAAATTAAAAGATCTTTTTTGAGATGCTACATAGAGTAGCATCTGAGAAAAGCTGGTATCTACAGAACAAAACAAATTTCCTAAAAAGCAAGGTAGTGATGTAGGAGGCCGGCCAAAGCTATGAAAGAATGTCAATTTTAATGGAAATAAACGTATTCAAAAATCGTATCATTCCTATTGAAGTATCGCATTTATATAGAATTAGCTTCAAAAGAGATGAATTTAGGTTTTTATAGCTCATTCTAAAATGCAGTATTTAAAGGAGAAAGACCATTTAGCACTTATACATAGAATTGATTAATTCATTTTGGTTACAACTCAATTAACTAATCTGTAATTAGCATATACGTAGTATAGCTAAGGGTTAATTGATTTCCACAAAAGAAAAAAATTGAAGACTCTTGAAACAGAAAGGTAAAGTACATGCTAATAGCGATCAAGGTCACTAATTTGAAGTATTTGCCATAAAAACGCCTTAAGTGAACAATTATAGCCGTCTTGTTACAATATTCTTAAATAGAGCATGCATCAAATGTCTATGTGAACCGTTATACCCTACTCATTTTCATGACACCCCAATTAGTAAAATATAATTGGGATGCTTTACCCCATAAAATACACTTTTCTCCAAATGCCAAACTAAACATGTTTTGGACACTATAGCTTCTAACAACTTTGCAAAAATCATCAATGGATGCTCCAACTTAAAGTGATCATCCCCTGGCTAGTGATAAGTCCGTATTTTAACACGCATTTGATGTGTGTTGAGATTGGCTTTCGATGGTTTTCCTAGATTAAATGTGCCACAAGGCTCATAATTAGCTCAAGTTATAGTTTATCGGATTTTGGTTTACATTTGGTGTTTTTAGAATTAAAATCAGGAAATTGAGCCCACACCGGCATTGGAGAATTAATCGGGATGAATCGAGACACATTTGAGAGTTATTAAGAAGAATTGAAGGTCCACGATTCATTGAAGGAGTGATTTTGAAGTCAAGAGGGCTCAAGGATCAAGTACGAGATCAAACGGGGACATATAGAACTTGAAAACAGCGATTAGGATGACATTCTGTCAATCGTTCAATCATATATTTTTGTATAAACATTCAAAATACATGATTCAAGCTCCATATGAAAGCTAAATGCAAGGGCTACAAATCATATGAAGACACCATGACGCAAATCTGAAAGGAGCAAGGTGAAAACAGACGAGGAAGTCAGATAATCGCTGTTGAGATTTCAGGATGCGGCCTTCCACCATTTTATTCATATTTTATGATTGGATGATCCAAATCCAGTTTTGCAAGTTGTTAACGATAGAAGATTTCATTACCTACAACTTTGGTGAAGAAAGTATAGTAAAATTCGGATGGGAAAGGCGCACGTCGTGCGCCCGAAGTAAGCACGCCGTGCGCGGAAGAGAAAAATCACGTAGAGGCTACTGGAGGTCAGGCACACCGTGCCCGGCATTTTTTCCGCCTCCAGGTGTCCTTTTTTGGCCAGAATTGCTTCTTTTTCTATTTAACAGCCTGTAAATTTCCGTTTTTTGTTACGGAGCTCAGAGAGAGGCCTAGGACGAAATTTTGAATACTTTTCCACTTTGGTATTCAAGACCCTGGGATTATTTGCAAGTTCCATATTTTTAATTAATGACAATTAATTCTTTTCATCCCAATTATATTGATTGCTCAATTATGAATTGTGAGTAGTTTTAATTAGGGATTTGGGATTGATGAAGTGGTTAATCATGATCTAGGGTTAATTTCTTGATGGTTTAATTGCATGATTTTATTTAATTTGTGTTTGAATAATTTAATTGATATTTTTTGTAACCTGGAACTGCCGTTCAGGATTATAATTGCACATAGTCATTTTTATAATCATGAAGAGAAAACATTAAACCAACTTATGTTGTTTATATGCTTGTGAGCTATTGTTATTTTGTGTAAGTCATTTTTAGATCTAGTCATTTTTATGTTTTGTGATTGTTATTATCTCTTAAAGTAATTTGTTCATATCATGAAGAAAAAACATTAAACTGCCTTATGACTTATTGTGAAGTAGATCACTTACCACAAGTGCATATGTATTGCTTTGGACTATTTATCTCTATCTTCTCTATATCACAAAAAATATGAATGTGTGGTATCGAAGTGATCTTATTAATTTTGATGACTCGATAGACAATATGAATGTAGGGTAAATAACATGCATTGTAAGAAGTAAGGAGAACTAAAATTAATGGTAATATGATGATAATACATCAAGCGTTTTTTGTAAGATACAACTTGCACAATTTTGTCAAGGTGAAAAAAAGTTTGTAAAGATGAAATGGAAACCTTGTAAAATTTTGTGAAGATCAAGGAAAAAGTTTGAGAAGAAACAATTCCTCATCAAAAATTCCTTTTGTACACGTTATACATGTCAGTATACCCCATTGTCTGTGAGAGTTTTTTTTGTCTATGAATGTCAATTCACAGACAAAACCTGACTTGTTTTGTCTGTGGAAAATTTTACAGACAAAACAAGCCAGGTTTTGTCTGTGAACTGGCATTCACAGACAAAAAAAACTCTTACAGACAATGGGGTGTACTAATGTGTATAAGGTGTACACCAATGATTTTCCATTCCTCATTGTGCATGGAGTCAATGGAGATGTTGCTTGGCCGTATAAGTGTTGAAATTAAACAGTTCTTGTGCTTGAAGATGTTGCATAGCATAATAAGATCGTTGCAGCTATTTATTAACCTAGCTATGTTGTGACTCATCATAAGATTTCATCATATAAATTCATTTTTTATGTGTGGCGCCATGTCATTATTCTGTGAGGAGTTAACTAATGGGATTAAATTTTCGGGTCCGGAATTGACAGTTTAGGATGTTTTAGGTCCCTGACAGATTGAAATTATCTTTTAGGTCTAAAATTAATAGTAGACTTAACTTCCAGGTCTTGAACCGATAAAATTCCATGAATGTATTCTTGGATGAAAAACATAAAACCATATTTAAGGTTTTCATTTTTTTCATAAGTGATAGAAAAACTAGAAAGAAGAAATTGATAATGAGTCCATAGCTTCTCATTTTCTTCATTTTCGTGGCATGTTCTTTATAAACAATTATCATTTCAGTGTCATATGTCCCCATGCATGTCAGATTAAAAGAAAGTAATTCATACAGAGTATTTCTTTTTGGCAGGTTAGCTTGAGGGAACCTCTTCGCATTGGTACTAATCATAATGAGCTAATGGCGATAATTGGATATGTAGTTTCTTATTGTATTTTTCCACCGATAGTAATCATTACTATGAAACTTTTATTACCTAGTTATTGAATAATTGAACGATTGAATGTCATTATTAATTCTTTGAAAGTCATTATGAATGACAGAGCCGGAGATAAGAGGAATGCTTCGAAAGGAGTGAAAAAATGCAACAAATGTAGAAACATCATTCTATTTTAATCTTTACCTTTATATATCAAACTTTATTACATTCGTTTTTTAATTAAATAGTACTATACTTAGAGCCCGTTTGGAGAACTCTGTTTTCGGCTTATCAGGCTTATCAGCCAGCTTTTTCACCAAACACGTAACTTTTACTTTCGCGCGGTGAATTGTGTAATAAGCCGAAAAAGTAAGGTTGGAGTTACTTTTCTGGCTGTATTGGCTGAAGTTACTGTAGAGGACCATTT